ATGAAACACCACATTCATCGGGAAGCAGAATCCATGACCGTTTAAACACAGGTCTGGGCCCTCCAAAGCTGCATGACATAACACAAATGTCCCTGTATGGCTTGCAAGGAGCTAAGTACCATTCTCATATTGCTTGGATTCCAGAAACTGTTTCTCAGCTCATGAGCTGACCCAGAGGAAATGAGTACAACAGATAAGACAAGATGGATGCTTGTCCTCCTCGCCCCCCCCCCCCCGGCTCTGGCCAGGAAAGAGTGCTGCTCTTTAGGGTCAGGTTAAGGCCCACTAGTGGCACGGCCTTCGCTTTTGTCCCTGTTTGATTCCAATCCCTCCCTTCTCTCAGCGAAACCATTCTTGCTGGTCCTAGAGGCCTTGAATCAGAATGAAAAGGCAAATTGTAATGATGAGGAAAGGGAGAGGAAAAGCCTTGAGACAATAAATGACTCATACTAAACGTTTAAAAATTCTGAAAAGTGTGCCTCACCTGGTGGCCACCCCCCCCCCGAATCCTTATTTGGGGTCAACACAGATGAGGTAGAAGCAGGGAATCACAACGATAGTTTGCTACACTGAATCTTCTACTTTCGTCTTAGACTCATCATTTCTCAGACATGATGAATGGGGCACAATGGAGGTCTCACCTTTGAGGACCCTGAGCTGAGAGAGGTGCCTATTGCATTCTTGATGCTGGCAAGTGCTTGGTTCCATGTCCACACCTTTACTGTCTTCCACTAAAACTCATTCCTTTGGGATCCCATGGGACAATCAGCAGTGGGTGTTGATCTTGTGTTAAGTTTCCCTTTATAGCTTGGTGAGCCCATGCCTTCCCATCATCGTACACATGTGCTATGTCTCGGTAGACTTTGAGTTTCCAAATAGAAGTCATCCCATGTTCATGGATACTCCCTGGCAGATCCAAGAGGAGAGGAAACCTGACCATGATCTGTCACTGTGCTATTGCTTACCATGAGAAAGGGTGCACTTAACTGGTCCCCATTTCCTACAGTCACATGCACCAGAATAAATACACATGCATGTATTCATGGAAACACGTTATAGACTTTCCCCCATAGACCTTTATTTGAACATTCAGTCCCCAGTTAGTGGTGCTGTTTGGAAAGTCTATGAAAATAAAACATTTAGGAGGTGGAGCCTTCCTGAGGAAGTATGTTTTTCAAGGTGGCCTTTGACTTTTTGTAGGCTGCCCCCTACCCATTCCCTCTGCTTCCTATGTGCAGATGAAATGTGATCACCCTGCTTCCTGGCTGCCATGCCTCCCCTGCCTGTTTTCTCAAGAAAAAAAGAAAAAAGAAAGAAAGAAAGAAAAGATATTCTTTCCTACAGTGACGGAGTATTTGAGGGAAAGAATTACTTGTTTTTTGAGCATCTCATAGACTGTGCAATGGTTTTTGCTCTGACAGGGTACACAGCATGGACAAGGGAGGCAAGCTGCACATGGATGCCTGCCTTCATCTTCCTTTATTTTTTCAGTTGAAGACCAGAGCACGGACCACTCTACACAGTGCAGGACACAGTAAGAAGGCTTCAAGAACCTTGGAGACACCCTTAAGGTCACACGAAAGGAATCCCATGATTACAGCTATCTGGGGCCATGGGGAAAATGGAAGGCATTAGGAATGAATAAATCTTATCAGATCATTCCTCCAGGTACAATCCTTCAGAACTCCCTGGTGGCTTAGATATCAGATCCAGAGTCCTCGTGTGACTCTCAGGGTCTCCCCTGGCCTGATGCTACTTTAGGCATTCAGAACACTAGGCCACTGCTCCAGCTACACCAGCCCTGAGGACTCCTCTTCATCTGGAATGGTCCTCTGCCTTCTCTCAGCCAACTCCATCTTACAGTTTTCCTTTGCCCCTCAGACTCTCCCAAGTGTCCCATGTGAAAGCAGACTCTGTGTATCCCTTCTGAGCACTCTCCATTCTTCAGCAGCTTGTTCACTGTCTCCCTCAGCACACCACAGACTCCTTGAAGGCAGAGGACAGAAAGGTCCCCAGACAGACTCATTCATTCCAGGAACCATCCTGCCTGCCCTGGGTCCTGATGACACCAGCGTTTGGAGAAAGACCTACAAGGTGACTCAATGTCTCCATGCTCTTACGGATAGCTCTCCCAGCTGACTGGGTGGTGTCTTCCTGATTTGCCTCTTCCGAATCCTACTGGGAAGCAGGAGGGGCGAAGGGCAGGCATGGCGGATGTGGGTCCTGAGGGAGAAAACTCAATCAGAAAGGGAGGCCAGGGCTCTCACTGTGAAACATTTGCTAGGGAAATGACTCTTTCTGGGAACATCAGTGCCGAGATGATCTTTAACTTGGAGTTGTTATGCAGTGGGGATGATTTGCCTGTGCGAAGAACTTAGCACCACAGTGGCATAGCTTTTGCCATTGGCTTTTACCTGGAATCCTGGGTAATCTGGGGTGCACTTCGTCCAGACTGCCCCATTTCCAAACATCACAGTGTAACTCTGCATATGGCTGAGCAGCAAAATCACCCTACTCCAGGGCAGGACTAAGTCCCTGAAAAGAAGGACCAGTGAGAACCTAGGGAACCTACTAGAATGCCCTAAAACACTGATTTGGAGAGTCAGTTGAACTGAATCAATTGAGATGAACCTTTCTGTCAGAACAGGTTTAGTCTTTTGAGTTTACATCATTTGTTCAACTTTCCCTAAATCGTTTATTAAGTTGGCATAGTTTCCGGAGACCAGTAACTAGTGGAAAATAACTGCTACTATACAAACAACTTCCTGTCTGGGTGAGGCAGGCATGTGGAAAACAGGCCCAACAATGTAGAGGAATGGGGGCATGTTTACAGCTTTTCAATTCAGCCTCTATGGAACTATCAGGCACCCTCATGAAAATCAACTATATGTCCTTTTTCTAGCACGAACTTCAGTGCCGGATGTTCAGAGTCCCCCTCCCCCCCCCACTCCCCCTCTCCGCACACGCACATGTCAAATTTTAATATTATGTCATATAAGATTGTCTTCTACTCCAAATAAGCCAAAAGCCATCTGCGATTACATGAACTAATTAATATTTACTTTTAAGGTTATTTGTAATCTTGAATAAGTAAGAGGGTGGGTATTGTGCATATGAGTGCAGGTGCCCATGGAAGTCAGAGGCACTGGCTCTCCTAGTGCTTGTGAGACACTGGATGTGGGTGTTAGCTACCTAACTTGGGTACTCTGCAAGAGTGGTATATGGCTTTAACCACTGAGCCATTGTTCCCACCCCAAATTCACCATTTTTCCTAAGTGCCTTTCCTAAAACTTGGTATTATGACGGTGGTGCATGCCTGTAATCTCAGGACCTGGGAAACTGAGGCAGGGGGGTTTTGAGTTTGATATGTGGTCTGCACAGAGACTGTATCTCAAAAAAAAAAAAACTAAGACAAATAAACAATAAAACAATCTGGTATTCCACCAGCCTGGTCCCACAGCAGGTTTAGGCCCAAATAACATGCAGAGACACTGTATTAATTATAAACTGTTGGCCAGTTATTAGCATTTCTTATTGGCTATCTCTGTCTTAAATATTACCTCATTTCTATCAATCTAAGTGTCTCCATGTGGTCTTATCTTACAGGAGAGAAGGCCTGGACCTCTTACTCCTCTTGGTCCTACATTTTGATTCCTCTCCACTACATCTTCCAGAATCCTCCTTGTCTCCTAGTCCTGCCTATCTTTCTTTCCAATTGACTAACAGGGCTTTATTCATTAACCAGTAAGAGAAACATATTTGCAGAAAGACTTCTCCCATCATCCATACAAAATCCTTAGCTGTTGAATGAAATGGCTTCTTGGAGCTGGAGTGATGGCTCAGTGGGTAAAGCATTGGCTGTTTTTCCAGACAACCTGGATTTGACTCCCAACACCCACATGGCAACTCACCACCATCTGTCACTCCAGTTCCAGGGCATCCAAATGCCCTGTTCTGGCTTTCACGAGCACCATATACACAAGTGATGCACAGACCCATGCAAGCAAAACTGTCATATATCTTAAAAACAAAACAAAAACCTCTTCAAGAAAAGAAATGGTGCCAGGGTGTGGTAGCACATTCCTTTAATCCTAACACCCAGGAGTCAGAGATAGGTGCATCTCTGTGAGTTCGAGACCAGCCTGAGCTACAAGAATGAGTTCTAGGACAGCCAAGGCTGTTACACAGTAAAAAACCTGTCCCAGAAAACAAAACAAAATGAACAAAAGCCTCTTTAGGAAAGCAAATGGCTTAAGTGACACTGTTTCATATCAATGCTCTGTTGAAAACTATGACCTTCTAATCTTCATGCTTATATTTTACAGGATCATTGTCAGGGGTCAACTTCCATTCATAAAAACGCAAGGCTATTAGATGCCACATTCCTAAAATCAAATGCCAGCCACTTATTGATAATGACATTTTAATAACAAATTTATAAAGCATTCACTTACTTGAATAATCTTATTCCCAGGACAATTAGGTATATGCCATAGAGAGTTTAAATGACAGCGAAACAGTATTCATTTGACAAGGAGTCCGCCTTCCTCCTGCCACCCCCCTTTTCTCCTCCTTTCTTGCTTCCCTCTCTCCTCCCCGCCTTCCCTTCCTCCTTCTCTGTTTTCTTTCCTGAACCAGTTCCTCTAAGAAGCCAAATATATGTGGCCTTGAATGTTTACGTGAGCTGTAAAACTATCTCTTCCTAAAAAGACTTTAATTTAGTGGGTGTTTTGCACTCAGTACCTGCAGACACCAGAAGAGGGCGTCGAATCCCCTGCAACTGAAATTACAGATGGTGGTTGAGTTGCCCTGTGAGTGTTGGAAACCTAAGCCTGAACCGCGGTCCTCTGAAAGAGCAGCCATCTTTCCAGCCACAAATTTGGATTCTTTCTTTTTTTAAGTCTATGAGCTGGTCCAGGTGTCAGAGCAAACAAAAGAGGCCTAACTAGTTCATTCTTTCCAAAAGAATGGGGCAAGAAAGAAACAGCATACAAGAGAAGTGCAAGTCACTGTGTATTTATTCACAGAACACACCCTTCTTCCCAGAGAGAACACACACTCTAAGGAATGCCGCTTTCCCAACCCCTTTCTTCTGGCTTTGCATCCTGAGTTTCCATATCCATTCATCAAGGTTTACACAGAGTTATTGGAGATTTTCCCTGAGATCACCAAGGCCGTGTCTTGGCCACAGAATGTATTTTCCTACAAACATTCAGGACAAAACCAGGGCTCTGAGAGTCATTGATTTGAAGAGGTAGAATTCCAAAGAAAAAAAGGCAAAGATCACACCAAATCACTACTTCAGTTTTACTTGGTTGAAAACTATTATTGTCCTTTCAAAATCTCTAAATGTTCTCGAAGGGAAAGCCATCTTCCTACTCAGGAAGACACAATCATAGTGCTGAGCAAAAGCTATCTTCATCCCTGAAGTCTTGGGGCTTGCAGTCAAATGCACAGCTAGAGAGGTATAGGCAGTGTTTTCCCAGTGGTTTATAGGAAAGAAAAATTACAGATGTGGGCAATTAGGGACATGTGGTCATCTCAGCATATGCTCAGTCAGGCCTGGGACACTCTTAGGGGTCTGATATCACAGCAGACACTGATCCTGCTCAAGTAGGAATACTTGATTCTTACCTCAAATCCCAGGCTATTCAAGTCAACAAAGCATAAAGAGAGTGGATATCACTGTGTCTCCAATATTGGGACTTGGAAGGCCAACTGTGGGCCAAGGGCCACCTCCAGCAGCCACTCCTGAGTTATAAGCAAGAGTATTGAAGTGAGCCTGCTTGCCAGGAAGGATCAATCTTATGTTTTGTCATCCTTCCTCCTTTTCTTTTATCCCCCTAAAATAGTACAACAGAATTTCCCTAACTAAAAATAAACAAGTAGAGGCCACCATTCTACAGTGGAAGAAGGTAGTCGGCCCTGAGAAAGACCAGTGGGAAAGAAGGCAGCAAATGATCCAGGCAACAGGCAAGCATGCCTGGGATACATGTAGACTTCTGAAGATGGAAAGTGTGGCGGGAAGGCTGAGCATCAGTTGGAACATACACAGAGGTGGATGTGGGGTCCCAGTCTCCTTCTTAGGCTTTCTTGGGGTAATTCTGACAAGCTTTCACCATGTCTTTCAAAAAGTTGGGAACCCCATTCTGCAAAGAGGAAAAAAATATGTTTCTACATATTCTTCATTCTCTGGGATGTGCCAAAAGATAAACAATGATGGCTTAGGGGGCAATAAAAGGAAATGAGGCCCCTGATCCAATTTCTACATGATGCGGTCAGAAAAGGGAACAAGGCAAGACCCAGACTGGCTGCTGCTTCAAAGATAGCCTTCCGCGTGACTTTTGCTCATAAAAACTACAGAGCCCCTTTTGAAATATTTACTAAAAAGAAAGGAAAGGGGGACTAGCGAGATGCCTCTGGGTCTAAAAGTACCTTTTTCTTGCAAAGGATGCGAGTTCGGTTCCCAGCACCCATGGCAGGTAACTCACAGTCACCTGGAACTCCAGCCCCAGTGACTCCATCAGCTCTTATGGACTCTGCACATTCCCCACACATACACATAACTTCTTAAGAATAAAAAAGGAAAACAACAACACCAACAACTTCAAAGCAAAACAGACGACCAGAAGATGGGATCTCACCACCCAGCTTCTCTGGCTAACTAGTGTGGCTACTGGGATTAAAGGTGTGTGCCGCCACTGCCTGGCCTCTACGTCTGGGGCTAGCTTTGCATTCTGACCTCCAGGCAAGCTTTTTTAGATCGTAAACAATATATCACCACATTCTTTCATAAAGAAGTGGGAGAATTAGCAAACAGTGTTTGGGGTTAGAGGGTGGGATCATGGTTGTTTAGTGTCAAGCACTGTGCAAGACTTTCCATAACGTCTTACTGACTTCTACGCCAGTCAGTAGGCAGTAATCACCCTTATAAAGTTGGGGCTTCCCCAACTAACACAAAACACTCAGTAGCAAAGCCCAGGTTCTGAATCATGTCTGTTTGCCTCTGATGCCTAAGGGTGTTCTCACTCTCCCACGGGTCTCCTGAGGTCACACAGGACCTGTATGAAGCCTGCCAAATAGTCACAGCAATTCAGAATCCTAGGAGTAGCAGCCTCTAGTGATCTGGGCCACTAGCACAGTTCTTTGGCCTTGTAAAATGAAAACATCAAGGACAACAGTACCAGGGGCTTCCTTTGGTCTGTCTCTAAGCCAAGTCTGTCTGTCTTACCCGCCATAATCAGATACGGACTGTGTCATTTTCCCTACAAGGAACAGACTTTTGTCTGGAAGTTCCAGAGAGTGATCTTGGAGAGTCTGGGGCCACCAGCAGGGAGGGCTGGCATTCCAAGCTAACAGATTCTTTGTCCTTTGTCACAGTCTCCATTCTGGGTGTTGGCCACTCCAACAGTAACCAAGTCACTCAACCACGTTCTTCATAAAAGAGGCTCGTTACCCTGGGGCAATGTGTCTCTTTAACATGACAACCCCCAGGCTAAAGTCAACATTTGTCAAATGCACATACCCTGTCCCTCTCCCCCTATCCCCACCCTTGGCTGCCTCCTGGGACCTCACCTTGGCTGCCCAGTTAATGAGCCAGGACGGAATTTGGCCACCCGGGTTATCAAAGTAGTACATGAAAACTAAAAGGGGAAAAGAAAAGACAATTCAGAAGGGGTGGGGGAGGAGGGGCGGTACTGGGAAAATGCAGTAATAAAACCCTGTAAACCGTCTATCTTCAGATTCAGGCCTGAGAGGACAGAGGAGGGAGCAAGTGATCCCAGCAAACTGCCCCGACCCTCCTTGTGGCCCTGTTAAAAATACAGCCAGGGGGGACAATTGGTTGTGACTCTTAGCTGCCTGACAAATGCTAGACACTTGGATGTCATCTCTCATTTTGTTACCCAAACAGCCCCAAGGAACTGACAGTTAACCTACCTTATGTGTGAGGCATACAGACCAAGAGTTACATGACAGACCCAACAAGCATCACAGGTGCAGCTCAGATTTTTTTTTTTTCCTGACATAGACTACACTCATGCCAGTATGGTAGGAGGTGACGACCCATGCTTCCCTTTGAGGGGAATGGAACTCAATGTTCCTGAGTCTCTGGCCTTGTGCTGAGCCGAACTGTATCCTTCAATAAGCACCTGCCAATCCACTGGCCCTCTCCAGGCTCAGGCCCCATAGCCATAGGCTAACCCTGAAGTGACTCTTCCAAACCCCTCTGCTCTACTCTCAAAGTTCAGATTTCATCTGGCCAATAGAATGCATGAGTAAGGGGCAGCATTGGTGAGCTGGCTCAGCACTGAAGAACACTTCTCACTCTTATAGAAGACCCTGGTTTAAAGCCCAGCACCCACATGGTGGCTCACAAACTACCTGTCACCTAGGTTCCAGAGGATCTGATGCCTTCTGACCTCCATAGATATCAGGCATGAAACTCATGCAGGCAAAACACTCGTGCGCATGATATAATAAGACAAATAAGTCTAAACAAATAAGCAAAACGGGAATGCATTGGGTCAGATTGAAACACCTATGTCAAGCCCTAGCCAATTTGGGATTTGGGTTGAGACTCTTCCCCTGGGCGCTGACCTCCTGTCTACTTCATTCCCAGGCCATGTTTACCTTTAATAAATGAGCTTTTGTACCTGATCTGCCTCCTAGCCACCCAGCCTTCAAGTGGCCCTGGCCAGCTGCTGACCCGCACCCCAGGCTTTACCTCTGCTCCCCTTCTTGTTATCACTCTCGATCGCCAGGCTTTGCTTGTACTGCTTCACTCGGATCACCCCAGACTTCTCAGGAAACTGAGGCACTGAGATGCTCTGGGCCAGAACCACGTAGATCTTCCTTCCGTCCACATCCAGGTCCCGCCGCTGGCGGGTGTAGACATACTGCATAGCCAGTCAAGGCACGGCACCAGAATGAAGAAAGCAGCCCACATTGGTGGCAATGGGAAGGCACTCTACACCTTTTCTACTCAGACCTCACTTACTGCCTACTTTCCCTGCAAAGCTGAGCCTCCTGTCCAACCACAGCTCACTTGGAGAGCACTATCAGCTACCTGTGAATGATCCCTTGGGCTCTCAGTTGCACAGGGATCACATTCCTCCTTTCCCCAAGAAGGCACACACAGAGAGCACTGTTCACTTAGCTGTAATTATGGGGAAGCTAAGAAAACTCTCTCAGACTCAGTTTCCCTGTCTAGGAAAAAAAAGGTGTGATTGGGCCTCAGGTAGAATGTTGGGAGCATTAGAGAAACCCAGGCATAGAAATAGCACTGGATAGAAAGTGTCAGTCCTGTGTCTTGTCGTCATCCACAGCTCTAATCACTGGTTTCTACACACAGCAAGTATCCACGTCATATCTAAAACCATAGAAGTCACATAGACCCTTCAAGTTTTAGTAGGTAGATGTTCTATTTGAGATAGGACTGGTACACCAAGAACGGCAAAGCTACTTCATCTCTAAAAGCATGCACAGAACTTCCCCAAGGTGGACAGCATTATTCTATAACAGACAGTGGCATCTTTAAAGACTTCAATGCATGTGTGGCCCATCTTTATTTTCTGTTCATTTTTAAGGCAGTGTGCAGGGTGATGAACTTCATCATGGCATCTTCATCGATACATATCACATAGACATCCATGTACATCATACTTCCCACCTCCACTGCCCTTAGACAGACTGTTGTCAGGAATTTGTTCACAGAAACAAGTAATCAATATGCTTAGATGTGAGAAAAACTCCCTGCCATTCAGCCAAGCGCTTTACTTTATAAGCAAAGAAATGGAGAGGAAAGGCACTGGGTGTGAAACAGCAGCAGTCAAGAGGACCACGCTGGAGGGAGAAAGCTAGAAACCAAGAGGGTGAGTCCTGGTTGCTCTCTCGCCAATGTGATGCCTGTCATCTCGTTTTCATGGTCCCCACTTCTCCTCAGTAAGATAAAAGGGTCTAGACCAACACTTCATAAACTGTTCCTCCTGGACCCCCAATTCTAGGCTCATCGATTTCCATCTTTGGACACTTTCTTTGGAAAGGCTAAGTTACCTTCTAGCGACCCTATATGTGGTTACTGTTCCATGTGGTCACACCCAGAAATCACACTCCAGTCTCTGAAAGTCCCACAAGCAGCTGCAGCATTTGCAGATGGTTCCACAGGAGCCCAAGACAGCGGCGTTGCCTACAATTGCTTTGAAATGAGAAATGAGTGGGTCCCAGGGTAAGGGTGGTGCCTGGGGAGCCCAGGACAGCACTGAGACAGGCAAAGAGCTAAGTGTTGTGAAGAAAGGATACATCTCTGTTGGACAAAGGGAAAGGGTACTTCACTTCCCAGTATGCCGTCATCTGCCCATCACATTCCTTTTCGTAGAGTTCTGAAGGAGAACACAAGAAGTTAACGCATCTGGAAAGTTCTTCAAGAAGCCTATATAGTCTTAGTGTGTGATAACCCTCTAACTCAGCAGGCGAAGAAACATGTTTGGAAATAAAAGTATATTTGCTATCAGTGAAAGCTTGCTCCTCAAGGATGATCCAGAGGACAGGGAATATGGGAAAACCTAAATAAGCCTGATGCTTGTCCATTGTACCAACAGCATACTGGGATAGAAGGCAACTAGGTATTAAGAAATAATCAGTGGCTTTAAGCAGGTAAACCACCAGATGTCAGTAGAGGACCAGGAGTTTTGATTTTGACCACCACCACCACCACCACCACCACCAACACACAAACACACACACACACACACACACACACACACACACACACACCATCAAGGTTCGCTTCCCTGCAGATATCCAGAGACCGAGGAAGTCACAGAGTCTAGTGTGTTTAGGTTCACAGCATCTGGGAAACAAAAGGTCCATAGAGGGCTGTGTCCTTAAATAGCTAAAAGGTAGGTGAACCCTAGGTTTCTTGTTTCTTTCCTTTCTCCATGACATGCCACAGCCTCAGTAACCAAATTCCCTTCATGTTTGTGTTCTTTGGCCAGGTCATGCAAACTGCAGCTCTCGGAGGAGATAACAAAGGAAAAGAAGAGCAGACACATGCCTAGGCTGTGTGGTGAGCTCTCATCTAACCATCCAGAGAAGGACCAAGACATTTCTGAGGGAGTGGTACAAGTAGCATTTAAAAGAAATCTAATTGTAAACAGACTATTGGTTAGGAAGATTTGTGGCCCTCTCAAGGACACAGGACACTGAAGACAGTCATGAAGGGAAGGGATGAGTATATCTGTTGCCTCTGCCTGTTCAGTATTCACAACACACACACACACACACACACACACACACACACACACCTGCCAGCCCATCTCTTCTATGAGGTCTAAGCAGGTAAAGTGGCCATTTCAGTGCTAGGAAAAGGAGCCAACCATGACTATGATGATCAAGCAAGCGGGGCTTTAGTTTGTTCCTGTAGTATGTTTAGGCCCAATTGGTCACAAGGCTCTCAGGTACTCCTAAAATCCAGGAGCAGTAGGGTAAGGACTTCCAGATTGTCCTAGCAAAGCTAACAGTGTGAAACAGTGGCTTCCACTGTTCCAGAAACCCCGGTATGAAGAGTTGACAGTAGGTAGCAGAAGAAGAGGATCTACAGTTACTTTTCTTTTTAAAACTAAGTGTGTTAGCTGGAATGAGGACAGGGATTTGTAGAATGCCTGCTTCCTCACATTGCTCTCTTCCCAACAGAACACACATAGGCACATAGGCCCCTATGGCAAAGTCTGTATCACATACCTTTCCTCATTAGGGAACTTCGGCACAAGCACAGTCACTCTGAGATGAACTGTGGAGACTGAATCCTGGGACTCCGGCTGACTTTGGTTAAGAAAATGTGACTCTCTTCCCTAGAGTTATTTGCATGACTAAAGTATGAGCCTGTGTCTTGTGGGGGACATTTTCACAAGGAACAAGAGTCTACCCTAGAAGCAGGTAAATACAGGGAAACACAGGCTAGAGATGAAGAAACATCCTGATGGGATTGTGGAAGGACCCAAAGCAGCATTCTCAAGAAGCCAGGAACTCCTGGATCTTTCCCAGCCATGAATATATTCTTTTAAAAAATGGGGTGGGGGTGCTTCTTTGATATTTGCAGATGTCTTGACTAAAGATGCCCCTGGCCATTGGCTGACTGGGCAAGTTTCTTCCACAGTAGCTGAGATGGCAGGGGACGCTTCTCTCTAAGTTGCAGGAGTCTCTCTGTATAATGGTGTTCAATTCTATTTCTCCCAGGGTAAAAAACCTCTACTATATAGACTATGTAGACTGTGGATTCTCTTCCTGCCAAAGGTCATGAAATGTTCTCAGCTTGGGCAGAGTGGGAGGGGGGCAGTGAGCAGGGAACATCAGACAGAACCCACTGCCAGTGGTTTCTGAGCAGGGAGTTTGTGCCATCCCTCATGCAGGTGCCTGAACCCCCAGTGCCCTCCAGACACTGGTACTCTGACCCTCTCACTACCTCATATGTGTGGACCCTTGTTTACTTGGAGATCTTTGATTCATCTTCCAAAAGGAAGTCTGGATACCCAAGTTCCAAACAGGCTTCCGTGGCAATCCCGATTCATGATTAACAAAGCAGAACAAACCAACTGTGAGGACAAAAGGGAGATTGACTCTAAGGCATGGGCAGGGTAAGTCCTGGAAATGGTGAGATGTTTCAGCCTGGAGCACACGAGACTAAATTAGACAAGAAGAGGTTAACTCTCTAATGATCTTTTTAAGCAAGCCGTCACTCACCTTTCACATATTGGTCCCAGTTTTTCCTGTAGTCTAAGTCCATATACACATCTGCAAGGAGAGCTGGTGAGCAGCCTTCCAGAACACCAAACACTTTATACTCATAAAGTCCAGTTGGCTATGGAAACAGAATGGGAGGAAGTCTGTCGATACCAGAGTTGAGATTCCACATCACATGAAAAACAGCCAGGACTGAGGTTCAACCACATCAACCATTGACCTCCTGGTCTTAGTGACCACAGAATAGAAGCAGATAGGACCCCTACTCTCATGTATCTTATATAAAGCTATACTTACTGGTAGAGGGGATATTCATAAGCATTGACCAGATGATTTAGGTAGCATTTAAGAAGAGTTACATAGTAAATAGTGTTTTGTGGGGGCCTATGTCAACAGGTATATAGGAAAAGCCTCTAGAGAGACCATCTCCCAAGATTTATCAGGATATCATGTTCTAAATGTCATTAGGAGGTGAAGAAAGACATGCTTACAGAGAGACGTCTTGAACAGTGGTAGGAGCTGTGGGTAGAAAGGTTATAGATTCAAAAAAGTTTATAGATTTCAAAGACCCTGGAAAACTGTGGTAAGAGGGAAAGCTTTGATTCTCATGGCTCTGGAAAACTAATGATGTCTGTGGACAGAGGCATGGCCAGGTATGACTAGGGATAGACTAGGAATGACCAGATCTAACTCAATTTTAAAAGATCAGAAGTCTTGTTAGAGATCAGCACCATAGGCCAAAAGAGATGGTTCTAATACCCAGCTCACTAATCCAGATGAGAGATGGCGACCAAAATCAGGGAGCTAATAGAAAAGGTGAGGGTGCCAGGAAGGTAACAATAGGAATTGTTGCTGGAAAGATGAGGAGAGAGAAGCAAATCACTAAGGAGAACTCTGCCAACCATGGCTGGACATGGTAGGTGAGGGAGCAGCCTTCACTGACACAGAAGAAACTGGAGAAGAGAGGACCTGTGAGTTATTGGGGCATGCAAGAGTTCTAGTTTGGTCTGGTTGATTTCCAGATACCAGTTACATATCCATGTTACATAGTCAGAGGTCTGAGGGAGGGGTACATTTTATATATCCATGGAGTACAATGAAACTTAGGCATTTGGTGAAGTAATTTACAAGCCAGAGTTTTTCAATTGTTTTTATTTCGGGATCGGGGGGAGGTTGTATGTGTGGCTTGTTTATATTTTTGCTTTATTTTTTATTGAGAAAGAAAACTAAAAAGAGAGCAGCTGTCTGCTTCAAATCATGTTGAAACAGGTGGCCCTGTTGTTTAGGAAAAGACAATTTCTAGATTACACGTACAAGTGAGTTCCTTCCTTCTCAAGTCAAGCCACATTCTTGTCTGTGAGGGCTCTAGGCTCCAGGGGCCCCACTACACATTTCACTGGATACAATGGCAGCTCACAATTCCCTGAGTCTGGTGTGGCTTAGTGTCCCAAGTGGTAAGAGGAAAGCAGTGGCTCTGGATGACAAGAGCAATACACTGACAAAAAAACAAACAAGCAACAAGCCAAGCGGATAAAACACAGCTGTTAGATGGGTCTTGGGTTCCACTAACTACTCACTGAAGATGCTCCTTAAACCCCAAGCCAAGGACCCATGTGAAGTCTAAGAAAGCTTTGGGAGATGCTTCTTAAAGAGTGGCTTCCAACTCAGCTGGCATAGACATTCCAAGTCATATTCCAGTTTAGGAATCTCAAATGGATGTGAAAGAACCCTGTCAGAGACAGAAGTGGCCTGCCAGCTGTACAAGCATATGGCTTGGCTCTCTAATAAACAGATGGTGGCTGGGTGTATCTAAGACCTGTGTGACTCAGCATGGATTGATACCCTGAACGAAGGGTGATCCCTGGGATCTGATGAGAGGCCTCAGGAGAAACAACTTCTGCCACCCCTCAATGAACTGACAGAAAGGACTTGGACGAGGGCTTCCCCATATACACCCATTGACACCAGTACAGGCACATTTTAATCAATGAAGAGACAATGGGCTACTTGTTTAGGAAAATAGAGTATAATGATTCTTTTTCTGTCCCACCAGCCAGCTCCAAAATAATGACATGGAGACTTTTTATGGATTATGAAAGCTTGGCTTAGGTTTATCCCAGTAGCTCTTACAACTTAAATTAACCCATTTCTATTAATCACTTACTGCCCATGCCCATCATTCTTTCTTTGTATCTCCTCAGATCTCTCCTGTGCCTCAATTAGCTCCTCCTACTTCCTATCTTTGCCTAGAAGTCCCACCTATACTTCCCGCCTAGCTATTGGCTGTTCAGCTCTTTATTAAACCAATCACAGAAATATATCTTCACACAGTATATGAATATTCTGCAACAACAGAGGTCCTATTTTCTACATATGCTCATGAAAAACAGGATACTTACATGTTAAGTTAATGATCATGAAGTCTTCCATGATTTTTTTTTTTTTTTTTGACTGTGTCCCTTCCCTTCCTGAGAGCAATTACATCCCTCCATGACCCTGATTCTATCTGTATCACAGAAGAGGACCGGAAAGTCAAAGAGGAAAATAGAATGACCTACAGTTTGCATGAACACAGAAGAATGAACTATTGTGATGACTTCCTTGAGTCCCTCCCATCACAGTAGAACAGAGAAATGCCAGCACTCCAGAGGAACAAGACCATTGCTGCCCCCTTCCTAATCTCTTAGTCCCACATTATCTGGCTGAGCTCCATAGCCTGGCCCTAGTTCCTGGATCAATCCTAGTTCATGATTTCTAAGTGGATATAGCAAACATACTCATCTTTATTTCATCCTTTAAAAAATAAAGTGAATTTTATTCATTATAAAAACAATCTATATTCATTATAGATAGTCTGAAAAGCATTTTAAGAACTATTTAATGAGAGGATGTAACCTCATAATTTATAAGTATCTGCTAATAATATTTGATAATATTTCTTTAAAGGGAACAGACGTTTGTCTATGTAAGCAAATGGGTATGATATGCTATCAACAGGTGGTATTCCTACTGCAAACTTAACAGTATATTCAGACTATGAAAAGTTCACATGAAACAATTATTCACCAAATACATTTCAGTTTTAGAATATTTTGTAGAAATAAGCATTTCCAAAATAATCACAAAACACTCAGTTCAAAACCCAAGCTCATTTTTTCAGTGAGGAAGTTTTCTCAGTGATGAGTGTTAGGATGTGAGCATTGACATTCAAGGGTTGTTTGCACTCTTTAAATATTTATAAAGCTTATACAGCAGAGTGTGCTCTCAGAGGCAGTAAAGAGGCAGCTCTATGGGATTAGGTATCACTGTCTTACAATCTTATGTAGAAAAGCACAATGCTTAGCTTTAATTGAACAGAATTTATATTAACAATGCCTGGGGCCTTTTAAAAATGAGATTTACAAATCATTTGAAACTTTTGTTGTGGATATTTTCCCAAACTTGACAATGTTGTAACAAATAACTCCAAATATGCTTATGCAAGAGATGCTTGGCTTCTCTGGAAGACTTCCATAAGAACTGCCTATGGGAAAAAAAAATGGCTCACACTAGTTTATAGCAAAATATACAAGGTGTCAGGTGCTCCATTCCTAAGACCATTTCCTATACTTCATATACTGAAAGGTTATGTAGTGAATCAACCAATATCATGTATGGAATACAGATGTGGGATGTCCTTCTGTATGCTGCAAATATGTGTTGCTTCTGTTGGTTGATGAATAAAGCTGTTTTTGTTCAATGGACAGGCAGAGTTTATCTAGACTGGAAATCTGAACACAGGAACAGAGAGAAGGAAGAAAGAATCAATGAGACACCATGGAGAAGCAAGATGTAAAGTAACAAGCCACAAGCAAGCCTCATGGTAAAATACAGAATAATTAAAAAAAAAGTGTTAATTTATAGATGGAGCTATCCAATAAGAAGCCTAAGCAATTGATCAAACAATTATAAATATATATGAAGTCTCTGAGTGGTTATCTTTTAAGTTGCTGTGGGAACCCGGTGGGTGGAGAGAAACTGGCCAAGTGGGATCTGGGCTAGATGGAGAAAAGCCATCCACTTACAGGATACAAGTGCCAAAAGAAACAAGGTTTGGTTGATATGGTATACATCCACTTTCTCCATTGCTGGGAGAGCTGTCATGAGAATGTGAATGGCTAGTAAGTTTTCTAATCTCCTGTGTTGGAGAGCATCCAAGTGATGCTCTCTGCCTTCTTTGAATGGGGATGTGATGTTTGGATTTGGCCAACTCTTCTGAGACTGAAAAGCAACAAATAAGAAAAGCAAAGTAGAAAGATTCAGAGTCACTAGCATGATGAACCAAACTAAACTGATATCCACACTGTAAATCTGAGTTATTCGCTATGTAAGACCAAAAAGTACCTTTATTGAGGGCATCCTCAGTCCAGTGTTTTATTACTTGTCCCTAAAAGCAATCCTAACTGATCTAAATTGTCCTCACTGACATTGTAAAATTTTATTTGAAACCTTGTGCTACTAGGAAACGGTGAAAGTTAAAACACATACACACACACACACACCAAAAAACAAACAAACAAAAAAAAACTGACCATGTAAGCATTAAGACATAAGTTTTGGATCCCCAGCACCACATAAAAATTCTGGGGAAGTAGAGATAGGTGGCTCCTGATGCTTGCTGGTGTGACAGTCTAGGTAACCAGTGAGCTTCAGATTCAGTGACAGATCCTGTCTCAAAACAAGGTGGAAGGCTGGAGAGATGGCTCAGCAGTTAAGAGATCTTGTTGTTCTTGAAGAGGACCTGAACAGATAGATAGATAGATAGATAGATAGATAGATAGATAGATAGATAGACAGACAGACAGACAGAGATAGAGATAGATATCAGGAGATCCAACATCCTCTTCTGGCTTCTATGGACATACCTGCATGCACTGCCATACATGTGAACTCATGTAGGTATGCATAGATAGATAGATAGATAGATAGATAGATAGATAGATAGATAGACAGACATGTGAACACACATGAACACATACACAAAAGAAAACTTTGAAATCCCAACTCTACATCCTTTTATGGTACATAATACACTTACAACAAAGGAAATATAAAACAAAACCAACAAAAGGAAATCAC